GGAATGCCCACGGGATTGTATTTCTGGCTTTAATCTCAACTTTTCCATTTCAAGGTTGTGCTTCTTTCAAGCATAGATTTATATGCCCCTTCACTAAAGGCTTAAAGAGTAAACGAGAGGACGTGTGGCATAATTGCAAGTCATAAACTTGTGATAGAGGATTATCTCTCACTCAGCTTCCCTCCTTCAATTTCTGTCTCACCACAAAACCTGGCATTCAAAATTTGAAAGAATGGATTGAGTTATATAGGTAATCCTTGATTGATTTATGACCACAGTAGAGCCCAACATTTTCTTTGCTAAGCAAAACAGGTGAATTTTGCTCCATTTTATTATCTTTCTTGCCACAGTTGTTAAGTGAATCCCTGCAGTTGTTAAGTTAGTAACACGAAGTTGTTAAATGATATCTGGCTTCCCCATTGACTTCATTTGTCAGAACCAAGATGCAAAGTGATAATAACTTCACTCTGGGAAACTGCAACCATCATTAATGCATGCCGGTTGCCAAGCGTTCGAATGTTGATCACACAACCATGGGGATGCTGCAGTGGTTTGTAAGTGTGAAAAATGGTCATAAGTCACTTTGTTCAGTGCCATTGTAACTTCAGTTGCTAAACAAATGGTTATAAGTTGAGAACTACCTTTATTTTTTTTCCCCTCCCCAAAAAAGCAATTCCACCTCTTTATCTCCACCATCATCAGATATATGTGGCCTTTTTATTTAAAATCAGCTTCTTACCTACATTTTCTCATCGGGATTTTGGCCATTCAGTTAGCATAGTTATGAAATAAACTGCCTTCTATTTTCTGCTATATGTGCAATATTCCGGTATCTCGTTTTCTATATATTTTTTTTTTTACCAGGTCCCAGTAGGGGACATTTTGAAAGTTCTAATTACGTATGAATGGCTTAAGTTGAATCTCTTCCTTATGATGGATTTAACTCTTTCAGGGCAAAGCAAATAATGCATTTAGATCCATTAATCCTAATTTTCCTGCTTTGCAAAATGTTAATTATGCTGTTCTTGAAAGGGCGTGCAGAAATAATGCATGCCTAGTGATAGCACGCACACACAATTAAAACATTTTATCATGGTTAATCCTTCCTTGTATAGGCATATTCTCCCTTGTCCAATACAATTTAAAAAAGAAATGAAGACAGGAAAAAATAATTAGCAAATATATCTCATGCCTCACCCTTGTTTTAGGATTGCTATATTTAGCCAGTGTTTACAAAAGAAATAGGTTGTTTCCAGAACTGGGAATTAAATATAAATACTAAGAACAGTGAGTGCTTTTACTAGTTCCTTCAGTTAAGCGACTTGAAAATAAACTATGAACGAATTCTACAATTAAAAAAATAAAATCAGCAGTACATTGATAAGGCAGATGGGAACAATATTCTCAAATAACCCCGTATACAGAAAAGCCAGCATCGATTCATCTTTTATGCTTGCTTTCTCACATTCTGAAAACAAGGACATTCTAAGCATAAACCTTATCTTATATTGCTGTTATTCATTTGTGTTGGTGGTGAGATTTAGCTTGTGATTTAATAAAGTGTGGAGCTACAGGTAAGTCCTTGACTTGCAGTGACCATTAAAATGGCACTAAAAGAAGTGAAGTTATGATTGTTCTTCACACTTGAAACCATTACAACACCCCTGTGGCCATGTGATCCAAATTCAGATGCTGGGTAACTGGCTTATATTTATGTGGGTTGCAGTGTCCCAGGTCAACGGGGAAGCCAGAGTCACTTTACATCTGTGTTACTAATTCAAGAGGCAACTGGACTTCCTTGTTTTTTTCTTTTGAAGACGTTTCACTTCTCATCCAAGAAGCTGCTTCATCTCTGACAGGATAGGAAGGAAGAGAAGGATTTATATTTCTTGCAAACCGCTGGTCATTTGCAAGGAATCAAGAGCACTATTCAGGTGACCCCGAGGACACAGATAAACCTCCAAGTGCTTCAAACTCATGTTGTCACGGCAGCATCATGCGACGTATCAGGACTTTTTTCCCCCTTCGCTAAACCGGGTGGGGGCGGGGCTAGCATGTGATGCATCTGGCCAGCAGGCGACAAATTTGACATCCCTGTTCTAAAAGGATGCATATGACCAGCTATCTGCAAGGAATATAAATCCTTCCATTCCCCACTATCTTGTCAGAGTTGAAGAAGCTTCTTGGATGAGAAGCAAAAATCTTCAAAAAGAAAAAAAACCAAGGAAGTCCAGTTGCTTCCTGTAAAAGCACCTTTGGGACAACCATGACCTGGATGACTGAGAATCTCTACAGACATCTATGTTACTAACTTAATAACTGCAGTGATTCACTGAACAACTGCAGCAAAAAGTTTATAAGATGAGGCAAAAGCCACAATAACTTTCTTGCTTAACAGTGGAAATTTTGAGGTCATAAGTGGAGGACAACCTGTAATAAAATCTCTGTTTACATAGGTGATACTTGTTTATCAGCCTTGCATCAATATGAATTAATTCTGTTTTTATAGGATTTGGGGGGCATGTGATTCCTTTTCCATAACTATCTCAGCAGAGGAATTAGGTCTCGACTGTGAGGGAGATCCGATAGCTTCATTGAACTTACAGTCTTGATGGACCCATGTATAATAAATGGCCTTTTTTGTGAAATATGAAAGACTTATTTTATAAGGAATGACAGTTTTATTTAAAGGCTTACTTTATCTGCTGTAACGTCTTTTTCCATGCTCATATCGCCAACACATCTGCGAGCTTCCTTTAAGTACAGCAGCTAACTAAATAGAAACAGTTGGGTTAGTTTTCCCTTCTCTAGTGAGGAAGCGAAATGGTGATTGTGCAGAAGAGACCACTCATCTGAGAGAGGCTTTCTCAATCAAATTATTCAAATTGTCTGTGGAAATGTCTGGAATGGTGACTTAGAAGCTTCATCTATTGAGAAATGCAGATGTTAGATTGTATACTAGTCCAGATTTCAATAGCAGAAACTCTACAAAACTCTAAAGGGTGTTCAATATTTGAAGCAGCACTTCTTTCCTGCATAAAGCTGCCTGAGAATTATAAGGGTATGCTTCAGTGCCTCACCATTCAAAACAGAACAATATGTGGCGGCGCAAAATAAAATTTCTAAGCTGTGGCAATCAAGTGGAAAATGTTCCCCATCTCGTGCTTGCCCCAATATAATTTTCATTTTAGTATCAAGTATTGAACTAACTCTCAAAGATGATTTTACAAGAGGCAACTGGACTTTTTGGGTTTTCTTTGAAGATGTTTTGCTTCTCATCCAAGAAGTTTCTTCAGCTCTGAGCTGAGAGCTGAAGAAGCTTCTTGGATGGGAAGCGAAACGTCTTCAAAGAAAAACAAAGGAAGTCAGTTGCCTGTTGAAAAATCACCTTTGGGACAACCATGACCTGGATGACTGAGAATCTCCATAGACATGTATTGAACTAACTCTTACCTCTAGATTTAATCATAGTAATATAATGGCCAGGACATCAGACTAGAAACTTGTAGCCTGTGAGTTCCAAGTTTTTCCTTAGGCAGGTTGCCAGGTGGGTGACCTTGAGCCAGTCATTCTCTCTCAACCTTAGGTAGCAGACCATGGCAATCTTGCCAAGAAACTTGCAGGGTTTGGTCCAGCCAGTTTTATCAGGAGACAACACTGATTTGAAGGCACCAAAACAACCACGCAGACAACTTTTTGAAAAGTTTTGAGATTTTCTCCTGGGATCCTTTGATGCATGATGGGTTGTTGATATTTTATCAGAGCTGTCAAACTCTCAAACTGTGGGCCGGATGCATCACGCGCTGGCCACAACCATGTCCAGTTTAGTGAAGGGTGGGAAAGTTGTGATACATCACGTGACGAAGCAAGTTTGACACCCTATTTTTGCCTCTGATACTGGAAAAGCTCCAGGTTTTTTTCATATCAGTAGCAGGTTTCAGGTGTATTATGAGGAACCTCCTGGCCCATTTTCATTTACTGGACATGAACTTATATGGTAGGTGTTCGTTTGACTGAAATTTCAATAACAATCCATTGAGACTGCTAAGCATTGACTGATCATATCTTAAAATGTCCTTGGCTGTGACCTAATTTACACTATTTAAAACTGTGGATTGGTTAATATTAACTAATGTTAAATATGCCTCTGTATTGTTCTATTTTAAAGCAGAACTTTAAACTTACATTTATATGTTATTCGTTTCAACATTATGGAAAAAACTGTCAGTTCACACTGACTTGATGATACATGATCAATCAAGCAGCTTTTTGTTTCTCAGGCTGCATTCTGTTTTCTGTTGTTTTTAATTGCTTGACAATACTTGATATAGTCTTGATTGACATTTTCTTGTTCTTTCTTGGGCTTTTTTTGTTAACGGTATGCGTTTGTTTTCCTGGTGTAATTTGATACATAAAAAGAAATAGCTAATGCAAAATTTGAATGGAAGTGTAATACTGAATCAAGGTATTCATTACCTGGAGATTGATCTAACTTGGTGTTTCTAAGGAAAGATAGCAAAATATGTGTTTGGTAAACATGATTTGAGAGGAGAGAGGAGCAATCAGGATTCTTTGGCTATCCTTTAATTCAGATTGAACATTTAAGAAGAATGGCAGTAACCTTACTGGGTTATTATTACAAAGTTATTTGGGGCTAATTCTTTTTTGGGATTGTCAGTAGTGCCCTGCTACTTTCTCTCGAAAGGAAATCAGAAAAGGAGATAGAAAGATTTAAATAAAGTTTGAATTCACTGAATTCCATGGATGTATTTTTTAAATAGCACCCAATAATTATCCCTTACCCATTGCTAATCCAGAAACGGTGCACAAGGAGTGAGTACAGTAACATTTTAGGGATAGAGTAAAATAAAGAATGGAGTCTTAGACCACTCAAATCTTCTTCCATATGGTTCTCCAGGGGAAGTTGTTGCTGCTTGTGACTTGACAACATGCTCTTTTTGCAGATAAAAACATCTCTGTAATCTCTCCCTTGCCTTTAGGGTTTTCTCATTCAGCATTTACCTTCGGTATCGAGAGCCATATCAGCCAGTCCAACATCAACGGTGCTCTGGTGCCCCCAGCTGCTTTGATTTCAATAATTCAAAAAGGCTTGCAGTATGTGGAGGCGGAAGTCAGTATTAATGAGGTAAGACACTTCCTCATCTATAAGACCATTGGGATGTTTTTCTTCCAATATTCTGGACTATCTCTCTCTTTTTGCTCCATCTCCTCCTTAGCTTTCCTTACTCTGCCTTGTTTGTGGACTGGGGTTCTTGTGTTAGATACCCTCTTCCTTATGTCTTCCTTGTTAAATAAGACTGAAGCATTTCAAGCATATATTTTGGGGGGGTTCAGATAAGGTCAATTATTCTTTGTAATGTTTTGGCTTACAGGGCTTACACTCTGGTGTACACTTAACAAATGCCTCGTTTCCTGCTTAATAGTGTTGGTTATGTACTTCTCAAATATTAAGGCTCTAAAAATTCAAAGATTTTACAGTACTTATGAAGATGAAGTACACTCTGAAGTGTGTCTTCCTTGTGAAAACAGGAAATATTTATTTTTACCCAATAAAAAACAATTTTAAGAAATCTGAGGATACACTGCCATTATTATGATTACTAGTAGTAGTAATACCTTGAATACTATTCCTGTTATTGCCACAGGGCTGAACTGTGACATCATTAGTTGATTTTGGTAAGATTCATCAGCTTGCTTGGGTTTTGTAGTATTTTGGGGTTTAAAATACTATCATATGTTAAAGATTGCCACCTCTTTCATATCTTTTTTTCATACTTAATTCCCATCAAAAATGGTGGTGAATGGCAACAACTTTTTAACATCACAATTTTGAGGGTCTTGATGATGTTTTTGTCCTTCTCTTTGATTTCTATCATCAAACATGGAATTGTTTTTTTAAACCAATAATATTCATTAAATTGAAGATTTTAAGAAGAGATTGAACAGCCATTTGCCCAGAATGGTATAGGGTCTCCTGCGTAGACAAGGAGTTGGACTAGAAGATCTCCAAGGTTCTTTCCAACCCTGATATTTTGTGTTCTAAATTCCCAATTCCCTGTCACATGATGTGAGAATTTTAAGTTCTGCTTTGGATCCACAACCAGGCCTTTATCAAGTTCCTTAATGTTGCATGTTTCTTTATGCTGTCCCTGTTTCACAATAAAAGAAGTCTTTTTGATACCTCAGTTGTGGTTGAATGCCAAACACGTGTTTTTTCCCAGCACCTTGGAATATCCATCTATTTTCTCCTTTGAGAAAGTCTTCACAGCTTTCATTGTTGGTGGGGAAGGAATCCATGCTGTGCAGGAGACAGATCAGGGCAAGTAATGAAGATAAATTAGGGACAATTCCCATCAAAGGGTGTTCCCTGCATCTGTAAAAATTAATATGGGCAGTCCTTAACTTACGACTACAAATTCCCAGCATTTCCATTGCTAAGCAAGTTAATTGTTAAGTAAGTTTTGCCCCTATTTTATGATTTCTTTGCTACAGTTGTTTAGTGCCGTCGTAACTTCAGTCACTAAATAAATGGTTGTAGGTTGAGGACTATCCATGAAAATTGAAATTCTTTCCTGAAAACCCCTTTAACTTGGGCTTTCAATTTGCTCCCATTGCAATTATAAAAGAACATATAAATTCATATTCTTTACCAACACACTTCATCACAGTGGGCTGCGTACTGCGTATTGAGTTGTGTGCTTAAGCCTTGGTTTCCCGGAAGCCACCCAAAGTGCAGTATATCTATTGTTTGAACGGTGTTTTCTAGCTGAAAAAAAAAGCCTGAGTGAATTTGATGTGGTTCATTATTGAGATATTAGACAGCACCTGAAGCAGTGATTCATCAGCCTTGTACAACTGGATGACTTTGTACAACATTTTGGGCACTAAAAAAAGTTGCAACTTGTAATACTAGTTAGAAAAAGAAATGTTAAGCTCCACACTTCTACTGTAAAAACACAAAGATCCTGCAAGATTTGGCTGTTCGTGAAATTCACAATTAGGTGAAAAACATGAGCATTTAGCTAGTATTATACTTGGAAATAAAAAAATAGACAGCTGGCTCCGTGGCTACGATGCTGAGCTTGTCGATCAGAAAGGTCAGCAGTTTGGCAGTTCAAATCCCTAGCACCACGTAACGGAGTGAGCTCCTATTACTTGTCCCAGCTTCTGCCAACCTAGCAGTTTGAAAGCATGTAAAAATGCAAGTAGAAAAATAGGGACCACTTTGGTGGGAAGATAACAGCATTGCATGCACCTTCGGTGTTTAGTCATGCTGGCCACATGACCACGGAGATGTCTTTGGACAGCGCCAGCTCTTCGGCTTTGTAACGGAGATGAGCACCTTCCCCTAAAGCCAGAAATGACTAGCACGTATGCGCGAGGGGATCTTTTACCTTTACACTTGAAACATTTTACATCCAGGTTAAAACACAGTGATGGCTAGTCAGTCTTTAGAGGCCATTTGTCAGCAGACCAGAAGCACATCTTATCTGTAGCAATGCCTGCTCCCTGGAATGAGGTCTCCCCCATGCTGGTATTTGAAGACCCAGACCTTTGGCAAGGGTGGCTGAAGCCCCCTCTGTGGATTGTTTTTCTTGCTTCCTTCCAGTTTTTTCATCTTCTCATCTTTACATTTTTATCTCACTGTTTTCCTTCTTTTATTCAATTTGCATTCCTTCTGTTTTGTACGATTTGTAAACTCTCCACAGGCACTGGGAGTCACGTGGAGTGTACATTTAATGAGTTGTTGTTGTTGTTAAAGACTTAAAGGGCTCAGCAGTTGAGTTTTGTGAATATGACTTGTCCAGCATCACGATCAGTCAAAGTAGTAACCAGATTTTGTCCTTTTGTCCATTTGCACACTTCACAATATTCTCCTTCTGGTTTTTGGTTTAGCGTTACTAAGTCGACAATGCATTTCTCTTGGTTTTCTCACTTTTAATCAGTTCATACTGATTTGAAGGGCTTTTAATCAGATTTTTAACTGATTTTTAATTACTCTTCTTAATTGCCTTCATTGCCCCCTGGACACTAAAATGGGATTGTTGTAATCTCTTCACATCAACGTGAAAGCACAGCTGCCAATTTGTTAGCTGGTGTTGGCCTTCATAATCATTGAGTTTGTCCCAAGAATCTAGGGTATCATAATGTGTCCGCATAGGATACGTACAGATCCAAGCACTATGGTTTTTCGTAACTGACAGATTTTCTTTTAAAGTGCCATCCAATGTTTTTTGATAATTGTACTGAGGGTGCCAATAATCACTGGGACTGTGATAGCCAATTTAAGCCAAAATCTTTCAACTTTGATTTTTAGATCTTGAAACTTCATGATCTTTTCCAGCTCTTCGTTTTCTAGTCTACAATTTCCTGCTCTTGCCCCATCAAATATCCACACCTTCTTCTTTTCAACCATGGTTAAATCTGTTGCGTTATGTGTCAATTAGTATTCAGAAATTCCATTGCTACTACTATTGTTATGATTAGTAACATAGTTGAGTCGGATTAAACTCGATTTGGCATTTTTATCAACCTATTGAGTCCTTCCCAGGGACCTCGGACAGGCAAATGTTGACACACGCACACACACACACACACACAAACACACACAAACACACATATGTATAAATACTTGTTTGCATTAGAGATATCATCACAGAATGTAAACTCTTCCAAGTAAACCCACTTTTTGCATTTGGGTAGTGATTCTGTCAGTGCTAATGATATTCAAAGTGAGATTGCAGATATTTTGGGATTGCACCCAAGTCATCGATCACTATTGGCCTTATCTTTGCTTATTATTACTGTTGTTATCAGCTTTTAAAAAAAAACACTAGATTTTCTAAATAAGTGAATGGATGCCATCTAGTGGCATTGCAAATGCATGTTGCCAACCTTTATCCTAGAGGTAAGGGCTGTAGCTTATCGATTTATATTGACTTTCTCCCAGTGCCTAAGAAGTGACAAGCAGAGGTTTCATCGCTGCGCTCATCTTTAAAAATGGATGAACTCTTCAACATTTGTATCCAGGACAACAGGAAATCTGTTTTTAATTACTGGCAGGATCCAGAAATAAATCCAGTGCTTGAAGACTACTGAGAAATAGTACTTTCAAGGCTTCCACTGGTCTGGGAATAGTTCTGAGCTGAAGCCATTATTGTAGGCCATATACTTGTGAGGGCACCTTGAATAGTCAGAATTTGACCCTCACACTCCAGTGCCCTTATTGGCTGCCAATCCCCAAAGGCCTCTTTGGATGGGTTATGGAAATGGTTCAGTTTAAAGTAAATCATTATTTTATAGGCTGAGCTGCTCTTGTCAGCAGCAATATAGGAGAAAGAATAAGAAGATACTTATTTAAAACACAGCTAACTCCTGGCCTGTGTTCCTTGCAAAACAGGCAGATAAAAAGGGATGGTTGCTGAATTAAATGAAAATAAAATAGAAATAACTCAAACTTTTAAATGCGCCTTTTTTTTTTTTTTTTGCCAAAAGGAATAGCAGAGTGCAGGTTGTCTTTGACCAAATGACTGGCCTCTTACATTAGGACAGACTTGAAAATAAGTTATTTACAACCGGTCCTCCAAACGATCAAATTTGGGGCACTTAGCAACTGGGTCTTGTTTACGACTGGCTGCAGCATCCCATAGTCACACGATCCCATTTTGTGAAGGTTTTTGCCATTTTGCTGCAACCCCTCCCTCACTGCTTATCAGATACGTGGGATTCAGATTTACACCTACATGATTTACTTAATGACTGTGGTGATAAAAATGGTCATAAAATCAAGTCTGGTCGTGTGATGACTCAGCTTACAACCGCAACTATAAACTGGCCTCACTTGTGGTCATGAAATCAGGGCTACCTATATTACTATAGGTCACATTTCATATTAGAATATCAAGAATATTGGGGTGAAACTCAGTGACTAATACACCTACTTTTCATTTGAAAGATGTGAGACTCCTCACTAATAAAACCATGAATAGCCGCTGTTGTTCAGTGTAAGCAACCAGACTAAATGACCTGGTTTAGCATTTGGTACCTTCCTACTAGATTTTCAAATTAGCTGGCTATAACCCAGGAGTGTCAAAAGTCAATTTCATTGAGGGCCGCATCAGGTTGGTGTTTGATCGGAGGGGTGGGGGCGTGGCCAGGCAGTGTGGCCAACATGATGTTATTTGTGTTGGGGAACACCTTTGGGGGCCCAAGTGCTCTCCCAGTGAAAATGGGCTCCCAAGCTCCATTTTCAGCTGCAATGGCCTCTTGCAACCCTCTGCCAATGAAAATGGGGCTCAGGGGAGCCACGTGTGGCCCTAATAATCTGTTTTCGGATGGGACAGCCTCCTGCAACCTTCTGGCAGCGAAAATGGAGTTCAGGAAGGCCTCTGCATGGCTCTCACCGTTTTTGCTGGCAGAGGCACTGTGGGTCAGTCTTTGACTATTTCCAGGGTGGCCCCGCAGGCCAGATCTAAGCTTTGAGTTTGAAACACCCCTGCTTTGCCTCATTACAGTGGCATTTCAGGGTCGAGTGGATTTCATTGGCACTGCGTGTGAGGAAACGTACGTGTCCATTGCATTCATACATCTACAAATTTTAACTTTATGGCTAGATAACAAAATAAATACAAAATAACAAAGGACAGAACAAGAAGTCAGATGACCAATCAACATGAAAAATGGTGTTCTTCCACAGAAGACACAGTTGGGATTTGGGAAGAATTTGCATCAGCCACCTGCAACCTACGTTTATCCATCGACCCCTTCGTAGCATAGGTATTATTCTGTGGACAACTCTAAATCAACCTTTAATGTGTGATTTTCCGTAAACAGGGTTAATAGCCAAGGCTCTGGATAATTGATGCACCTCAGCACATTCAGGACCTGTGTCCTATTTTCTAACTTCGGTTGCAGATTTGCCTGTTGCTAATGAAATAATTTCCCCCTTCTCTTTTTCCACTTGTCTCTCACCTTCTATCCCTGTGTTTTTAGGATGGTACTTTGTTTGATGGCCGGCCGATAGAGTCTCTCTCGCTAATAGACGCCGTGATGCCCGATGTGGTACAAACAAGGCAGCAGGCGTACCGAGACAAACTTGCTCAGCAGCAAGCAGCCGCGGCCGCAGCCGCAGCGGCTTCAACAAATCAGCAAGGATCTACAAAAAATGGTGAAAATACTGCAAATGGAGAGGAGAATGGAGCCCACACTATAGCAAGTGAGTGGAAATGCAATTTATAGATTGTAAATGGCTTAGTAGGCAGCTTATGTATTTAAAAAACTCAGTCATTCCACCTTCTGCATACAAAACCTCCTCAAAACTTTTAAATGTTTCTAAAAAATTTTAAAAATATATTTTTTGAAATGCAATCTGTGTGGCTGTTTTAAGCATTTCAACCTTCAAGTCAGTCAGATGGATAAGATAAATTAAGTTAAAGCCAAAAGCAGGGGGAAAACACCCCATCTTACGTAGCTATTATTTGGGATTGGTTTTACAATATACGGATTCATTTTAAACCACCATTGTCTTCCTTTTCTTGTTTACATTCACAACTCACAACTGTTTCCTGCTTGTGTTGGAAATCCAAACTGTTGATCTGAGGCAGTATTTCTCAACTTTAGCAGCTGCTGGCTGGGAAATTCTGGGAGATGAAGTCCACATCTCTTATTAAAGTGGCCAACCTTAAGAAACATTGAGCTAAGGAGATTGTGGTGAGCGAGCTCCCCCTGCTGGCGAAACAGGCAAATGCTAGTGGGCCTCTGTCTTCCTAGAAGCGAATATATCCAGCTGCTCCATTCAATGCCAGTTGTGCTGGAATAGCTAATTCAGTCTCTTTCACACACCCAAGCACATGATTAAATGTACGTGAGCACACAAAGTCCTCCTGTCTCCTAGGACTACTGTTCCACCCAGGAGCAGAAAGATCCTCTTAAATTAGTTTGCCAGAGATCAAAGGCTGTGCTTAACGTGGCTCACATTTCATGGAAAATGAACTACGCGATCGTTTTCAACTTCTGCTTTTGTAATCCAAGCATAACCTTTTAGCATTTTAATTTAATTTTTTTTAAAAAAAAGATTTTGGTGCTGGCTTGCAATAAAGCTGTTTTTGGTAAATCATCTGGTCTTGTTTATTGAGAAATATGTGCTTAATAAGTCTTTCTTGCCAAACAAATATATTACTGTTTGATTACGTAGTTGCAATATTCAACTCAAGTTAGATGAATGTGATAAAACTACCAACAAACTGTTTTTGAGAGCCAAGAAACTTTATATAAAACAAGATTTTGGGGGGAAACCTTACTATCTACCAGTTAATATTCTCCTCTTGGAGCATACATAATTTTTATCCTGGAGGAGGAGTGGAAGAACCACACATGTACAAAGAAACATACCCTGTATAGATTTCAAAACTCTTTTGGTTTTATTTTAAGTCAGACCTGATATTCCCTTTAATAGTGAATCACATGCTCATGTGTGATTTGTCCATTTTTAAAGATGAGGCAATGATGGAAGCGTCTTGTATATATTTTTTATCCATTTGTCGTCTTACCCCCCCCCCCCCCCCCCAAAAAAAAAAAAGAAAAGAAAAACACCATATAGAATATTCTGTAGAACAATTATTAAACTAAGGTAATTCTAATCTGGTCAAGTAGGGAATTTAAATCACCACCTCACTCCTTAAAGACCAACATATAAATTCTACTACAATGTCTTCAAACTGGAACCCCCTGAATATTAAGGCTATTATGTGTCGTAATATTCCTGACTCAAGCTCCATGGACTTGAGTTGATGGAAACTGTAGTCCAAACCTATCAAAGGACATCATCCTCTTACTTTAGGACTAAAATGTACACACAATCAATGACAAGGACATGGAGTTTTATTTCCTTTTTAATATTCAGTTACTTTTAAAAAGGGGGTATGGAACTTTGCTAAGAAGAATTCTAGTAGAAGTGTGAGATAGCACATTAACAACAAATCTACGAGAGTAAAAAGAGTGAACCAAATACAGGTAGTCCTCAACTTATGACCATAATCAAGCCCAAATTTCTGCTCCTAAGTGGGACATATGTTGAATGAGTTTTGCCCCATTTCACAGCTTTTCTTGCAACAGTCGTTAACTAAATCCCTGCAGAATGATGTTAAAATTAGTAACACAGTTGTCAAATGAATCAGGCTTCTCTGTTGGATTTTGGTCACAAAAGGGGATCATATGACCCTGGGACACTGCAAACCATCATAGTTGCCCAGGGTCTGGATCTTGATCACCAAGCCCTAGAGATGCCACAAGGGTCATAAGGGTGAAAAACAATCCTAAGTCACTTTTTTCTGTGCCGTTGTAACTTTGAACAGTCACTAAATGAGCTGTTGTAAGTTGAGGACTACCTGCAATAAAAGCGATGATGTCCCTAGGTATTCCATCAACGAGATGTAGGGTATGAATGAATAATAACAATAACAAAGCAACAATAATTTAATGGCAACATACCTCCCCTTTCCTTATGGTTTCTTTTGGATAGATAATCATACAGATATGATGGAAGTGGATGGTGATGTTGAAATCCCACCTAACAAAGCAGTGGTGCTGCGGGGTCACGAATCTGAAGTTTTCATCTGCGCCTGGAACCCTGTCAGTGATCTTTTGGCCTCAGGGTATGCTTTCCTAAAGAAGTTGAAAATGTAACTTCTCTTTTCCAGCTTTGATCCTGAGGAAAACTTCTTCATTTCCATATCTTCCTAACTTGTTGAGTTGGAAATGTAGGAAACGGAGACTTTTGATTTTGATTCACATAAGACACTTGCATGAAAAAGGGAATGTAAGACGAAGCTCTTCTGGTTTAGTTGGTTGTCAGGTTATCTTGTCTAAAGTCCAAGGAGTTTGAATCTTGTTACGGGAATCATCTCTATGTAGCGGATGATTGTACGGGCAGGCCTCGAGTTACAACCATAACGGAGCTTTCAATTATAGTTGAAAGTTGTGAGAGTCGAAAGTTTGCTGGTCACTTGATTTTATGACTCTTATTGCTTTGGTTGTTAGGTGAACCAAAGGTTTGCTAGGGACCAATTTCGGTGAAAACCATAATTAACTGCCAATGTTTATTATAAAACACAGTCAAGTGACTGGGATGCTATGAATATCCATAAATGCAGTCCAATCACCTAGCACTTGGAGCATGGTCATGTGACCAGAGGGATTCCCCAGTCTTCAGAACTTCAAATCCGGGTCCTAAGTAACCCAGGGAGAGATCTATTGGAACTTCAAATGATTATTAAGTGACTAGTTGTCAGTCAAGGTCTTTATAACTGAATAGGTATTCAATTGTATGGTAGTACATTTTTTTCTTGATGCTTTCCAAGAACGCTCCCTGTTCTTCTTCTCTTTTAAGTCATTGGTGAGCTTGACTGAAAAGAATTGTATTTTGTTTTAAGGAAGCTGTTTGTTTTGCAGATCTGGAGATTCAACGGCAAGAATATGGAATCTTAGTGAAAACAGTACCAGCGGATCTACGCAGCTGGTGCTTCGGCACTGTATACGAGAAGGAGGGCAAGATGTACCAAGTAACAAAGATGTAACATCTCTGGATTGGAATGTGAGCAAAATTCCCATGTTCAAATTAATAATCATATTTTGAGCTCCAAACACATGCGTTCTTGGAGGTTACCACTTCCAGATTTCCATGAGCGCTATAGATACCTGTTTTATTCCTGCTGTGGTAGAACCAAGCCCAAGAGGTCTTCTGCTGATTTAGGGTGTACCAGAGAGATTAAATATACAGTTTTTCAAAAAGCTTTCAAAATTCAGCAGTCTTTGCAAATTGGGTTTTTACTGTACTGTATTCGTCTTATGGAGATTCTCAGCCATCCAGGTCATGGTTGTCCCAAAGGTGCTTTTTCAACAGGCAACTGGACTTTTAAACAAGCTGCCTCTTGAAAAAGCACCTTTGGGACTATAGTGTATTAGAGTTATGAAAATGTGACTCCAGAGAATGTGAAGCAAATGTGGAACAGCAGCATGGGTGAACAAAAGCAATCTTCAAACTTTTCAGATAATCTTGGCAGAAACAAGGAATACATTCACCTGCAATTGAATCTTTGTGCAATAAAAAACTCATTCTAGAGTCAAATCAAAATGAATTAACTCAATCATCAAAAAGTCTTTCACACAGAAGTTTAGGGAACAACTCTCAAAAGTTCACTGAGGGAAAGATACGAAGAAGCGATAGATTTGCAAGAAGATCAGTGTGAAATGAGATATTCTTTAAAACTTTCTATGTTAAAATGGCTAGCCACTGATTCCTGAGAGGCTTTGGAACATTTTTTTTTCCTCCAAAGGTATTTGTAACGGGATACATTAAATATACCTTTGAGGTTTTAGTAATGCCCAAAATGATTCAGAGTTGAGCTGGTCTGATCCCCAGATTCTGTTGTGATATTATGAGAAGTGAAAAATGATCATAAGGAGATAGGGACACTTTAAGCAAGAAAATCATGGGTTATTTCAGGTTGAAACATTTTGCACATCTCCTTATGTCTAGCAGTTCTTCAAATAAATGACTTTTCTTGATTGGGAAGATATGATCACACTTATGAAACACGAAAGCTTTGAGAGGGGATGTGTATAATTCGCACACTTTGCACATCTCTTAAACCAGAGGAAGCATGCTCTGTTTGAAGATTACAGACTCTTAGAACACGTAGTAATAGAATAATGCTTATACTTTGAATTCCAGAGTGAAGGTACGCTTCTAGCAACGGGATCGTATGATGGTTTTGCAAGGATATGGACTAAAGATGGTGAGAGCAACATTATTAGTTATTTTCCTCTTTTAAAGGTAAAATATGACAGGAGGAATTATTTCAAATACTGTTTAGATAAATCAAAATATAACTGGTGTCCTTTCATTTTTAGGTAATCTCGCCAGCACATTAGGACAGCATAAAGGTCCCATATTTGCATTAAAATGGAATAAGAAAGGGAACTTCATTTTAAGTGCAGGTGTGGACAAGGTAAGACGACATTGGTTTATTTGAAATACATTGCTGCAGATAAAAATATGAAGATAGTTTAGGATAAGGGTGTCACACTGGCGGCCCTTAGGCTGGATGCATCATGCATGGGCCACACCCACCCTGGCTCCACAAAGGCAAAAAAAGTCACAATACATCATGTGACATGATCCACTTTGACACCTGTGGCTTAGGATATGGAACACAAAAAATGAAGTGTTCTTTAGAAACAATTTAGTTGTTTCCCTTTACTATTAGCATCTAGTAAGCATAACTGATGCCACCCTTTTTCTAAATAAATTGTGGTCAAGTGTAGGAATACAAGTAGTTTTCTACTTACAACCACAATTAGGCCCCAAATATCTGTTGCTGAGCAAGGCATTTGTTAAGTTAGTTTTGCCCCATTTTACGACCTTTTTTGCACTATTGTTAAGTGAACCATTGCAATGATTCGCTTAACAATAAGCGAATCAAAACAAAAAGCAGATCAGGCTTCTCCCATTGACTTTTGCTTGTGGGAAGCCAGCTAGGAAAGTTGCAAGTGATGATCCCATGATCCCAGAACAATGCAACTGTTAGGAATACCTGCCAGTTGCTAAGCCCCCGAATTTTGATCACATGACCATGGGGATGCTACAGCAGTCATAATTGTGAAAAATGGCCATAACCGACTTTTTTCAGCGGCGTCACAACTTTGGTCACTAAAAAAACCAGTTGTAAGTCAAAAACTATCTGTATAGTCCTAATAGACTTCAAATTATGGAATCTTCAGTACTCTCTGAGCTTGGTTGTTTTCTTGCAGGTGTTTCATTAACCAACTAGGTAACATCTTCAGTGCTACAAGACTGTGGTTCAGCAATGAACATTTACCTAATTGGATAATTAAATATCTGCAACAAAATAATCAAACTTGGAGAGCTCCACAGTTCAACCCTGCGCTACAATTTTTTTTTTCTAATTTACTTTTTTTGAGTTAAAAAAGTTGTGTTATAAACTTAGAACATACAGGTAACATGGCAGTGATAAGGAAAGCCTACAGTTTATATCCTTCTACTCATTAGCCTTTAAAAGGTAATCCAATCTTTAGAAAATATAGTCCTAAATATCATGGTTTCAGTTGATTTGGTAAATTTAAACATATTCAAAATTGTAAATCAGTTTTTGTTCTATTTTTTAATTCAGACCACAATTATTTGGGATGCACATACTGGAGAAGCCAAACAGCAGTTTCCTTTTCATTCTGGTATGTATTTTCTCTTCAGATTAAAGAGGAAACAGCTCATAAACCAGTGTTTTGTGATTTGGTTAATAGTTTTTGAGGGTTTTTTTGTGTGTGTGTGTGTGTGTGTGTGTGTGTGTGTGTATGCTTACAGTTAGCACATATTTCCAACAGCACTACTAGTTGGTATTCCAGTTAATTCAGCTGTGGGGAAATTACAGGCTCTTTTAAAAATAAAATTTCTGTCTTGTTTCAGATTTCCTCCTATTGACAAAAAGAGGAAACTGGTTTAATTAACTTTCTCTTGAGTCAGTTCAACTTCTACATTTGCATTGCTACCAACGACGTATTGGAGTAGACTGCTTTCTTGATTCTTGATTGGATTTTACTTAAAATAATGATTTATATTCTTCACATTTCATTATACAGGTAGTCCTTGTTTAACATCCAGCAACCTTTGTCCAGCAACCATTTAAAGTTACAGTGATGCTGAACAAAGAGTCCTACAACCACTCCTTGAAGTTCTGGCCTTTGCAATGCCCTCCAACCCTAGTCAAATGAATAACATTTGGATTCCAGCTCACACTTTGCTATTGAGCAGTGTTCACACATACTATACACTCCTTCCTCACATGCATCACATCCTACTTCTCCTCTTTGTTTGCATGCATTGCAATGTCTTCTCTCCACTCTTGAGATTGTGCTACTCTGCAACATCCATACCCTCCATGTTTGGCCTGCACTGGGTCTTCCCCCTCGTGACAATTTCACACTCCTTACCTGGGACTCCCACTGTTTTCCACTTAACAGCCTGCACATTTTGGGATTAAGACAGCAACTGCAAGTATGTGATGACCTGGGGCATGGCACACAGGCAACACAGTTAAATAATCAAGAAGAGTCCCTTTAATTATCTCCAACTTTGCCCCCAATATCCAGGCTATCTTTGGCTGGAGAAAAACTCTCTCAGGAACAGCCTTTAAGTGGAGAAAATTCAGTCCAAAAACAAAGTATATACAAATTGTAACTAAAAATTCAAACAAACCACGCTACAGTAATTAACTTGACAGGGCAGGAGAAGGAATTACAGCCTTGAAAGCACAGCCAAACACACACAATTGGGAAGACGCCAAGAACCCAGATAAGCCTTGATGATACCAGATAATTCACGATTTGCTTCCAACAACTTTTTGTGCATAGCTTCCCATTTTAAATACTGTGTTCCCAGCTGCAGCTAATGAAGAGAATCAGGGCCCTTTCCTCCCCCATAAGCCATGCAACTCATGTTGCTCCCTCTCTGTTCCTCCCTGCGTGTCCTAGGATGAAGAGGGGGTGGCCCTGGGTCTTCCTCTGAATTCCTCCTGATTTGCTCTACCTCTTCCCTGTTCTGCCCAGCCGGACTTTTCCCTTCCCCAGTTTCTTTCACAGCCAGCGGAGCCACACTCCCACTCCCTGTCAGCTGCTCAGCCTTCCCCTCCGAATCAGATTCCTACAAAGGCATGACAAACTTCCTGGATTACTTTCATTAAACAATGCAGTCCCATGACATTGTGCTTAACAACCACATCACTTAGTGGCGGAAATCCCAGTCCCACTCTCCACTATAATTTGAGGACTACCTATATTCTTTCAGCGCGAAATAGTGCATATCAATTTTCATACAATGTGTGCCTCTTATATTCCACATTAGTTGATCCATGTGATGAATTTTCAGTGATGGAGTGAAAACCTTTCCATGTTAGAGCTAATCCTTCCATAATGCAAATATTTCAATAAGTCAGTGCCAAAATGTCTGGTGACCTTCAGAAATCAATGTTGTCGCTGATACTTTTCTTGGTAGATGTAAAGATGGGAACAGTGTGGCATTGGTATATCCGGTGGTTATACCCCAGTCCAACTTTCTCTGTTCTTAGGTTATAATTTTGTAAGAAGATTGTAGTGTAAGAATTTCCCATGTACCTTTGAGTTGGAAGAAAAGTAGAATATAAATATGACAAAAGCAGGATATAAAACTGACAAATTAGATAAGACAAATTCTGATTGTCATATTCACAACTCTTCTTCAAGTATAAACAGTCTCTCCTTGAATCTTTCCAAAATGAACTTTGCATTCTAAATTCTGTTTGCTCTAAATGATGAGATCGCCAGTCATCTCATCATTTTCATTTGCTAATTATTGCAAAGAAAATTTATTTCTTCTGACTTTTTTCTTTCTTTTTTCTCAATAGCACCAGCGTTAGATGTTGACTGGCAGAGCAACAACACATTTGCCTCCTGTAGTACAGATATGTGTATTCATGTCTGTAAATTAGGTCAAGATAAACCCATCAAAACCTTCCAGGGCCACACAGTAAGTAAAATTTTCTTTAGCTATTATCCATGTAGTATATATGTGAAGCAAAATAAGAGAATGTTCACACCAGTCTATCCCAACCCACCACACATCCTCTCGATGTGTTGGGTTACAATTCCCATAATTCACGATCTTCAGATTATCAAAAATTCAACCTGAACTTATTTGGAGGACATCAATAACAACAAAGGTTGAAGCACAGTTTGTTATTTTTTCGTCCCTGTATGTAAACTGTCTAAGGGCTAGGGTTAGGGTTATTTGTTAAAAGTCACAGTTCTCAATTAAAGAAAAGGTGTCAGTTTTCTATAGACATTGAACATGTTTCAAGAATGAATTCAGCTAGTCTTCAGGGAAAGTAAAGGTTATACACCATTCAATTTCTGCAATTTGTACACCCTTTATGAAGTCTGTATTCTGTTGCTGTGGAAGTTGTAATGCTATTGCAATACTATTTAGAGGGTGTTCTTGGTTGGGGGAGAAACTAAAAGAGAATAAAGAGAAGGTCCCAAATACCAAGAACCCTCTGTCAAGCGCCAAGGAAATCAGGAGATTCAGGCAGTTCAAATGAGTATAAATTAGTATATTTATTGCAAGGTTATTAAGCTCTCTACAAGAATCTGACCAAAAGATGGTCAAGGGGAATGAGTGGGAGATAAAAGGACCTTAGATTTCTTGTGGGCCAACAGGGACTTGTGACTTATGATATGTTTGATCCCTCCCGCAGGCTCAGCTTGGTCATCGCCTACACCTTACTACTAAATTTTTATTTTATTTTATTTTATTTATTTATTTTTTGTGAAATGTATTTGCTGCCCATCTCATATCAAACTACTCTGGGCAGCTTGCAGCATAAAAACATTAAAACTGACAGATATCAGATAACAACGCAGATAAAACAAAATTGTTCACACAAGATGGCAAAGGAGGGATAGGGATCCTGGGGGTGGGGTGGGTGGGAGCGAGGTGGATGGGATTAGCTTTTAATTAACCAACCATTTCCAGTGTGAAGCTCCTCCATTGGGTGCCAAGTCATCTGGCAGAATCAGGTTTTAAGCTTCTTTTGAAAAGCCAGAAGGGTGGGAGGCCAATCTCACCTCAGATAAGATATTCCAGAGAAGGCCCTTCTCCTGGACTCTAAATTACTTTTTAGTAATACTGACCCCCTTAAAGACTTAACCTGCTGTGGGACTTCCGGTTTGAGCTTCTTTGGTGACAGATCAAAACCTCGTCTCTCTGAGGCTTCGATCCTTGCTCGCCGCTGGAGCGCCCCAAGCCGGCTGGTTTTGGGACTAAGCCACCCCATAGAGGTGGTGAAGAGGGGGGAGACTTCCTGCAGGGTTGAGGAGAGCCGCATCTCTCCTCCCTAGCTGGCCATTACTCCCTTTCCTGAAGGTGGTTGTGGTGGTCAGAAATGGCCACCACAAAGAAGAACTCGACTGGAAAAGAATGTGCAGGAGGAAGATAAGAAGAGAAAATTTTGATTGACCGGGTCAAACAGCAAAAGCAATAAATAAGGTACCCTGGAATTTAAACTTAACAACATTGTTCCCAAAGAAGATTTTGAAGCTGCGAAGGAGAGAGAGAAGGGAAAGGATTAGGGTTTTTTTTCTTCCCTTCCTTATACTGATTGCTAAGAGACTTAAGCAAGAAATAGAAAAAAAAATCCACTTTGACATTAATAGGCATCTAAGCTGAAAATAAAAGTCAAAGGCATAATAAAGATTTCTGGACATTTAAAAGTTTTTAAAAGCAGGAAAGGAGAAAAAAAAAGAATAAAAGGACAGGATCTGGAAAAATGGAGGAGACTGCCTGGAATTAAGGAATAGAACTGTAATTAAAAGGAACTTACATTGAAATTTTAATGAGATTCCTCAAAGATACATTTTAATTGAAACTTGGTAACAAAATAATAGAACCCCAGGAAGAGAAAGTGGAAAAAAGAAGCAAATAGAAACAGCCTTGGATTATTTGGATTATTTGGTGATTTTTGGTTTTTGCATCTAGATGACTAAAATTAACCGGGTTTAAAAGTTTTTAAAATGGTATCACTCTTAGAAGAACTGAAAACGGAACTTTAAAAATGGAAAGAAGATGCACAAGAAGGGAGAAGTTCTTTTGGCTTCGTGTTTCTATTCTTAGAAATGGAGATCTGGAACTATGAGAAGCAACAAGAAACGCTTGCAGAACAAGAAGATTGGGACAAAGAAGAAGCCATCTTTAATGATCAAATAATTTTAAGGCGGGGGGGGGGAAGCGGGGAAAGAGAGTGAAAGGTTTAAGACTAGAAAAAAACAACCAAAAAGAAGAACAATTTGAAAGATAAGTATAATATTAGAAAGCAACAGAAGATGGGATTACAGATGAGAAAGTTAGAAGTAGAGAGACGAGGGGGTAAAAAGGGGAGGGAGAAGAAGAGGGGGAAGAAGGCAAGGAAAATAAGTTGTAAAAAACAGAAACAAGAAATGGAGAAACAGAAATAGATAAAAGATATAAGGATTGTAACCATAAGCTTATTTAGAGATAATGGGTGAAAATTTAATTGCAAAAGGGATTCTGCAAAGGTACAAAAGATAGCATTGTTATATTACAAATAGAAATAATTTTAGAAAATATGATGATGGATAAAATATTTACTGTAATGTAGTGGGATGTTTGTTAATAAATGAATTAAAATGATTGAGAGAATTAAAAGGGAACATTTTTAATTATTAGTAATGATTTATAAAATGGTTATAAAATGGTTATAAAATATAAAATGGTAATAAGATATGGAATAGAATATAAAAATGACCATGAAATTGACTTTTGTGTCTGTATGAAGAAGTGATAACCTGGGACCATGCTATTTTCAAAAAAGATGTTTTATTTGTATTTTGTTTTTGTGAAAACCCAAAAAAAATTTCAAAAAAAAAAAAGATTTAACCTGCTGTAAAGCTCCAACATACAAACTCAGTCAATTCTCCTAAGTATGTTTTCTGTCCCTGGATTACTTAGAGCCGGACATTTTCACTATATTTTCTACAATTGTCCCCTTCCTGTTTTTTTCTGGGGAATCATCCTCCCCCCTTTAATCTGACGATTCTCTTACAAAGAAAACTGAGATTCTAATATCTCTCTTGCTGCTTATTTTCAGAATGAAGTAAACGCAATCAAATGGGACCCCACTGGTAATCTTCTGGCTTCTTGTTCTGATGACATGACTCTAAAGGTAAAAATGTATTGCCCCTCTGGGTGATTTTGGACTCCTGTCGCGAAATCATTGGGAAAACATTTTTCTCCCATCTATGCTTGTCGTTTTAATCTTTATTTCTGTATCTACTTGATTGCACCGTGGAAGCCCTAGCTGCCTGTAACTGGCTGAGCCCTACAGCTGCTATGTGACTCCTGTTCCTAAACTTGCAGGAGTTGATAATGTGCAAAAGAATTGCTTTCTTGACCATAAGAGGGCTCATGCTTCTGAATAAGAACTAGGATGATGATGATAGTGATAGAGATGATGGAGGAGGAAGAAGAGTTGTGATATTTATGCAACACTATGAAAGAAGATGAACACTCAGCTTCTACTCTAGGTCTCAGAAAGTAGAGCAGTGATGGTGAAATTTTTGAGCTCAATATGTCAAAAATTCAAAAAATGCCTGACATGATTCACACAGAGAGAAAAGTTCTCTGTTTCCATCCCAGCCCCTAATTTAGGTCACTAGGAGGCAGTAGAGGCCTGGACATTGATTTCAGCCCTAGCACCACCATTGCCACTCAAAAGACCATTCCCTCAAAGCATGCGAGTGCACCTCACTCATCTTCCATGACTTCCTAAGATTGCATGAAAGCACATTCCCATTCTCAAACAAGTCTTGGACGTTCCAGAGGCCCCACCTCTGTCCCATGACTTCCAGAGGCCGCGCCAGAGCAAAGCCCATTCTCACACGGCCTCTGCAAATTGAAAATGGCATGAGAAGGAGGGTGTGCTGTCGAGAATAGATGTTGGGTGTTGGTGACAGCTGGTGCTTCACCCAAACATTGAGGCATGTCACCTTTGACATGCATGTTATAGGTTTTCCGTCACTGAAGTTAAGAGTCTTCTACCAATGTGGAAGTCAGATCAACTTGCTTGGAGTGAGGGATGAAATCTGAAATATTATATCAGTCTGCAATCCTTCCCTATAGAAATTGTGTGCACACTCATATATAATCACAATTTTTCTAATGTAAAGCTACCATAAGTTGATATTTCAACAATGTAAATCTAAATAAAAGCCCATGTTTTAAAAATATAACCTCATTCTTGAGTATTACTGTCTCATACCTGAGGTATTAAAAAGAAAACAAATTAAAATGCTCTTTTTTCCCTTTTTTGTTGTGTTTTGCTTTAAAACCCTGCAAGATTTACGAGGACCTCTTTACCTACAATTAAATAAAGCTTGATTGTTGTTTTCTTTATTCACTTTTCTATTAGATCTGGAGTATGAAGCAAGATAACTGTGTTCACGATCTGCAGGCCCACAACAAAGAAATTTATACTATCAAATGGAGCCCGACAGGGCCAGGAACAAACAATCCAAATGCCAATTTAATGTTAGCAAGGTAAGGTTTCCCTGTGTAGGAGGAGAAAAAATGAAGCCAATAATTTTGTTTAATGACTTTTCTGAGCTGGTCTAGAAACTGTTTATTGAGATTAAATATAGACACCATGCCCTCTTCTGCCACTTGGATATAGAAATGGTTCCATAACTGTGCTTCAGGGTTTTTCTATGAAAATATGGAAAATATTCAGAAACAATATCCTTTTTATGGAATTTCTTCTCTCCTTTTTCTTTTTTTCCTTCAGAATTTAACGTGTAAACCCATTAACTCAAATTACCTCTAAAGAACACAGTGGTTTTGCTACCATCATCAATCCCTTTCCTGATTTGGAAATTCTTTTATTATTATTTTTTCACATTTTAATTGCTTTTTAATATATAAGGTAGCATAAATAGATGGAATATTGGGGAAGATAACTGTTCCTTTTTAAACATAATTGGGGAATCAAATTTACATTTATTAAATACATTGAAATCAAGTTTAATTGGGTTCTCTTAGTTTTATAGATCAGGGTACAGATACCACACAATTTACGAGCCCAGAATTGTGAAGTCATTGCAGTCATAAGCATCATCTGACTGGATGCATGCATACATGCATAAATACATACATACGTATGTTTGCAGCAGTCATTAAGTGAAAACTGTGGCATTAAGCAAATAAATTATCCCCAATGGGTATCATTTTGCTGGAAACTGGCAAATTGTAGATTATGACTACAGGATGCTTCATAGAGTTGTAACGATGAGTCAGTTGCCAAGTGCCCAATATGTGATCACATGACTGTGGGGGAGGGCTTATAGCTGTAACTTCAAAAACTTCCTAGGGGTGGGACTTCCAAAGCATCCATTAATATTTCCTAAATTCCCATCTCTCTCCAGAATATAAACTAGGCAAGGAGGAGGTACCTTGCAGTAGCATGCTTTGAATGATGGTTCTACTACCCAATCATCATGTAACTAACCCCATAGAAAGCTTATATATTACATAGCACAAGCATTCAACATCATGTACTTAAGTTACAATATAAAGTCCTTTTCCTGACACACTTCACTGCTGACTTCTTCAACAGCCAAGTTGCTCAATGTCACCTAAATTGTTGCTCAATGTCACCTAAATGACTGATGTAATTGCTTTTTTCATTCAAGACGGGCAGAATTTCCATCCTACTCCTGAATAGTATTCCGCATTTTTCCATGTCTCAGAAGTTCTAAGAAATGCAGTGTAACAGCCAGTTTTTCATAGTGACCACCACCAAGAGAGAGAAGATGTCCAATTTGGAAGTCAAGAGTCTCTTTACGATTGTAGTGGGAGTCCCAAAGGTGCTTTTTCAGGAGGCAACTGGACTTTGTTTTTTTCTTTGAAGACATTTTGCTTCTCATCCAAGAAGTTTCTTCAGCTCTGACAGAATAGTGGGGAACAACAATATCCACTCCTGCCAGAGCTGAAGAAGCTTCTTGGATAAGAAGCAAAATGTCTTCAAAGAAAAAAACAAAGTCCAGTTGCCTCCTAAAAAAGCACCTTTGGGACAATCATGACCTGAATGACTGAGAATCTCTACAGACAATTGTAGTGTGAGGTACATTTTATAAATAAATATATAAATTACAGTTACAATTAACAATTATTGTTTTCCTCTTGTCTTTGGTAGTGCATCCTTTGATTCTACAGTCAGGTTATGGGACGTAGACCGAGGGATTTGCATCCATACCTTGACGAAACATCAAGAACCTGTGTACAGTGTAGCTTTCAGTCCTGATGGTAGATATTTGGCCAGTGGTTCTTTCGACAAATGTGTACACATCTGGAATACACAGGTATGTTTCCTGGAGCACTAGTAATTTTATCAACTTATTTTTATTACCTATTAAAGGTTTCTTATGGCCTTAATCAGATCAGCTTCAGTGGGAAAGACAGAAGGATAACATTGTTATTCCTTACCATTAAAGAAAAGCAATTTGTTATGCTTTGAGGGAGTGCAGATCATTTTATAGATTAGCTAATGAAGGCTGTCCCTGTCTTTTTCTCATATTCTGAACATTTAAAGTTGACTACTGTAATTTTCACCTCTTCTCACCTCCCACCAGAAAACCAAAGCCATCTGTAAAATTTGAGAAATATTTTGTACTTTCTCTGCCATCGAAAGTAGCAAAAGTTTTTCAGAGCTGGCTTAGGAAAGTTGTGCTTGCTATATTTATCAGTGGTCCTTACAAGAAGCTGTGTCTTTTTTCTGGGCCACCAGAAAAGGAATCCTGGTGTCCCAGGAGTTAGAATGTAGTATTGCAGGCAAATTCTACCCATAGCCTGGAGTTCTGTCCTGACCAGGCACAAGATTGACTTTACCAACTTCTGAGGTTAGATTGTTCGAAGCAATATGCTGTGGTTGTAAACTGACCAGAGAGTGCTGTAAAGCAGTATCAAATGGTACCAGAGGTGGCATTCAGCAGGTTCTGACCAGTTCTGAAGAACCAGTGGCAGAAATTTTGAACAGTTCAGAGAACCAGCAAATACCTGACTGGCCCAGCCCCCATCTGTTCTCTGCCTCCCAAGTCCCAGCTGATCAGTTGGGTCTTCTTTTGTTGCCCTGCACAGGTGAATGGAGCTGGAAAGCAGGTTAGTGGGATGAGGAGAGAATGGGATTTTGCAGTATCCTTCCCCCAGGAGTGGGGAGGGAATGGAGATTTTACAGTATCCTTCCCCTGCCACCCCCACAGAACTAGTTGTTAGGAGTATAAGTCACCTAACAGGTATTTGGGTGAGAAATATATAAACCAGGATAGACATTTTAATACTGTCTCTTTAAGGGAATGCAAGAGCATGCAATAGGGTGTAGTTTCTCAAACAGCCATAAGATGGAGCCAGAAACCTGGGTTGTTTAGTCTTAGTCTCAGAAGAGAGTGTGTCTGAGTATCTCTGTTTCCTTCTGTTGGAAAGTATTGCTGTTCCTCCATTTTTCCTAATTGACTGATATTACTGGATTTGATGTAATTCTGATACTGAACTGTTTTTGACACTGGAATTTGATATTTGGATTATCCCTGGATTGAAAAACTGATTTACCTGTAAATGACTTTTGGACTGCTTATTTTGGACTTTGCTTAAACCTTTCTGGAAGTAAAAACCTACATTTACTGTACAGTGTATCTGTGTGCTCTGTGTGTATTATTCCAACACTACTCTCTATACGTCTCCCTGTATGCGCTCATTCTCCTAACGGGGAATTACCTCAACACTAGTAGTAAAAAAGTTTGAATCCCACCACTGAATGGTACATACTGTAAGTTTTAAGTGCTATTACTGTTGCAATTCCCAAGTAACATGAATGGACCCAGGAAAAGGCTCAGCTTCTTTAAAGGGCTGTTGACAAATACAACAAGTACTTTTCCTGCTTTGGGACAAAATTTGAGAACATCTAACAGGTTTATCCAGCACTGTATTTTACTTAATGTCTGCTGCAGAAAGAACAGCTGGGCCATTAATTATTTGCATATTGCTATGACTACACAGAAACATAGAAAACTGACAACAGAAGATTTGTGACCCATCAAGTCTTCCCTTTGAGGGCTTTTCTTATTTTCTTTTTCTTTTAATTTTATTTTTAAAAAGCTTCGTTGGATGATGGAAATACGTTTATCCTAAGCATGTTAAACCTCAGTTAACTGATGATTGGCCCACTACCTGCACAGTTGGTTCCACTACTCTTTCTGTGAAGTAATACTTTCTAACATTATTTTTGAACTTACTTTCTGCAGTTATGCCCCCATGTTCTTGTTTTTTGCTTAATATTGAAAATACTGCCTTCTGGAACCTTATTTACACCCTTAATATATTTAAAGGTTTCAATCATGTGCCCCTTTTCCCTTCTGTCCTCCAGGTTATACATATTCAGTTCCTCTAATCTGTCCCAATACATAATATTCATTCGTGCCAGGAAATGCATACCTTACCGGGAGAGATAACCAGTTGATGCTTATAATACTTACATTACTTTAGCGTCATTGTGTTCTATCCCAACCTCTTGGTTTTATTGTTTTTCTAGACGGGTGCTCTGGTGCATAGTTATCGGGGGACAGGAGGCATTTTTGAGGTTTGCTGGAATGCAGCAGGAGACAAAGTTGGAGCAAGTGCTTCAGATGGTTCAGTAAGTAAAACAAAATGAGATGTTACACTTGATCAGGGGTGGGATCCTACCAGCATAACAACCGGTTCGGGGAGAGCCACGTGCGCATCAAATGTGTGCTACACAGGCGTGCGCGTTATCAGCTCTGGCGAGCATTTACCTTCTCCAGCTGACGAGAGGCACTCAGCAATATCACGTAAAGCAGGTCATCGCAGCAAACTGGTTCGGTGTCAGCTGCTCTTCAGAGCTACCGGTTCTATAGAACCGGGCCGAACCGATCGCATCCCACCCCTGCACTTGATTCTTTTTGTCACACGCCAGCATCTAAATATGCTGGGTATGTTTGGGTTCTGCTTTATTTCTGTAAAATGTAGGGTACACTTGGGCTTGTAGAATATTTCTCCTGACAATTGATTTACTACTTTAAAATAAAAATTAAATACTAAGCAATGAAGCCAATAATCTTAAGCGAGGCAAACGAACCCAAGAGTTTTGAAGAGGTGGGAAATGTTGAAGGAACTTCTCGTGAAATCCCTCACTCAAGAAAAATCCCCTGTCATACCTTCAGGATGTGTCTTAAAAGAAACAATGCTGGTAGTCCTCAACCTAACAACAGTTCATTCAGTGACTGTTCAAAGTTACAGCAACACTGCGAAAAGTGACTTATGCCCGTTTTTCAGTTATGAGTTTTCCAGCAGCTCCATCATCATGGAGATACTTGGCAACTGGTTCATACTTAGGACCGTTGCTGTGTCCCAAGGTCATGTGATTCTCCTTTTGCGATCTTTTGATGAGCAAAATCAACGGAGAAGCCAGATTCACTGAACAACCATGTTGCTAATTTATCAACGGCAGTGATTCACTTAACAACTCTGGCAAGAAAGACAGGGCAAAATCCGCTTAACAAATGTCTCACCTGACAACATAAATTTGGGGGCTCCATTGTGGTTTTAAGTCAAGGACTACCTGTAGTAGGGTTTACAAATTCCCTTCATTTGAATACATTCCAAAGAACCAAAATTCCTCAGTATCAAGATATTATTAAAAGACATGAAAAAGATTTTGTCTTGTGCTGTAAAGGCAATAAATGCAGCAGTACACATAATTCACTGGTGAGTATATTGCAAAGATAATTGCAGATCTGCCACTGAAAAGGCTCACTCTTGAGTGTTGGACCACCTCCACCAGCACTGACAGGACAATACACTGGAATATAAACTGAGAGCAAATCCCACTCCCTACTAACACTGATGATACTACCTAGTTTGGGTAATGAAATGTCTACAAGGAAACAACTAAGCTCACAGAGCAGAGGGTGTCAAACTCATTTTCAACAAGGACTGCATCAGGGCTATGGTTGACCTTCGAGGGACCGGGCAAGCGTGCCTGACTGAGTGGGCGTGGACGGAGTGGTGCCACTCACTGGGTGTGGCCAGCTGGGTGGGCGTGGCCAGCTTGCTCCCCAAACTGCTGGCATGTTTCCTCTTTGCATTAGGTAGACCGGGCCAAAGCAACACAGGATTGTCCCTTAACATTTTCCAGGACAGATCCAACCCGCAGGCCTTGAGTTGGACACCCCTATCATAGAGCACCAAGGACCCCTCATAATGAGTATAAGAATAGTGCACATTTTCTGTATTGTAGAATGCCTGTTCTTTTGTTGTTGGTGTCCAAATCTAATGCATAAATAAATTTTCTGAAACCCCTTCCCCCCCCCTTTTCCCCCCCCTTCCTCCCTCTTTGCAGGTTTGCGTACTAGATCTACGGAAATAGCGCTACTAGTTGGAAGCCATGGACCGACTATGAATGTGTACATAGCCAAAATGACTGTCCCCACGACCCATGTACTGCTATTGTCCCAACTGAACCATGGCCAGTCCACTACAGCCAAACCTAAAATAATTAAATACATGTACTGTACATTTTCTTTTTTTTAAAAAAAAAAGCAAAACAATTATACCCTGAAGAAGATGACAGAGTGATGTCACAGCTTGTGAAGCCTGTTCACCAAGTGCTGGAATTTGCTGCAGTCCCCCACCCCCCCAAAAAAAACATTGGAAGTGGGAGGAAATTTAAAAAAAAAAAAAAAGCAGGACAAGAGAGAAAGAGAACCGAATTATGCAAGCAGCCCTTTGAGAGTATCAGATTGAGGAAAACTTATGTATGGTTTATTCTTTCTCCTCTCTTCTTTCTCCTCTTTTCTTTATTTTTGCCCTTTTTGAAACTTTTGTTTTTCCCTTCTTTCTGATCCCTCCCTACCACCCCAATAGGAAATGAGCAGGGTGTTTTGTTTTTTTCATGTATAGGGAAAACAAACTTGCATATCCCTGCAACAGTGATTGGTTCATTGCTTCTTCCCGTTGCGCTCTTAAGCTTTACTGATGCTTGAAGCCAGGGTGTGAAATTCTTTCTAGGTTGTGGTGGATCACTTCACTAAGATTTGGAGGGAGGGGAATCCTTTTCAGCGGTCCTTTCAATTCTCCTTAACCTTGTAGACATCTGGAAAGCGTTGCGTAGCTCTTCTTCCAGTTTAGATAAGGGGGAAGGAAACAAAACAAAACCCTGACAAACAAGGATCCACATTCCTTTATCTTTTTGTCAGATCCAGTAGTTTACAGGCTACTCAGATGCTGCACTTAGTCATTTTATTGGTGATGACCAATCCAAAAAGCAACAATCCCCATCTTGAGACATTTCTGCCAATTCTAAGCGTGTACCAAATGCAAGAAGACACATAAACGAAGACCGAGAGGCTGGAAATAGGATGCCCACAGTAGAGAACCACATCACTGGCTTGGAGAGCTTGACGGTATGGGTAGTGAGCCTTTTGTGTGTTCAGATCTTGGGGAAGGAGGTGATAGACCTTGATGAGGAGGTAGGTTCAGGTAATCCCAACACCCATGATCTGTACATTCCAAGTTTAAGCAAAACAGAAGAATTGGAGCCTCTTTTTCTTCAAAACCATGATCATAGTCCGTTTGAGTTGCACGCTGTGAAAATTGAAGCAATGGAGAGAAAGGATTTGTCTCGTTCTCAGTTTGGGAAAATGTTTCTGCTACGACCTCTGTACGACCCCCAGTTTTACTTAGTATAACCAAACTCCCAGTTGAAAGTATTTCAGCCTTTGGGGACAGCGCTTATTTCTTTTTCCCTTTCTTTGTACAAAAGCATATTTGAAGCCTCTTTGCTAAAGATTTTTCTGAAGTAAGGCACATTGTTTACTACCTTCAAGATATTGTTTCACTGGAAATTCTCCCCTCGCCCCTTCACAAAAGATGTTGAAGAGGGACCTGAGCAATTATTTGCAGCAGGGGGTTAAGATCCACTGGGCTGGTGAAGTTCCCGGTGAATGACTCCTCATATTTTTTTAAGTCAAAGGAAAGGAGGAACACCCCCTGGCAAAAACCCTTTGCTTCACGCTTCTTTAACTACTAAATGATCGGGCTTCCATACTAGAAAATAGTCTTGCACTAATTTTTCCCTGTTGCGCCCCCGTTGTTTTTTTCTTTTCTTCTTGTCTCCTTTCTCTTCACCCCACCACCCTTCAAATTTAGATTAAGTGTAAGCTGCTAAATGTTTTTCGGGAGAAAATATGATCACTACTTTTGAATGTCTTTGTTTCTTATATCAAGCCTTGCTTTTCCTTCACATTAACACTCTGCTCATATTTGATCACAAGCGATAGCAACAGTGGGACTTTCTTTTGTGCGTGTGTGCGAAAGTACAGCGTAAAGGCTGACCTGTTCCATTCTCGTTTGATGCTTCATGTCTTATGCATCTTCCAACTTCCTAAACAAAGAGGTGTTCAGGGTTTTTAAGGTTTCACCTGATTTTTACCTAAAAATGCTTTATACTCATTTGCTTTTCCAAAGCTTTCATTTTGGATCTCCTTTTCAGTCACAGCAACACAGTGCAGAAGTGCTAAACTTCTAATCTTTTTCTTGCTACTTCTTTCAATAGGCAGCACAGCATATAAACCCAAAGCTTGGACCTCTTCCTTTGAAGGTATAAACTGATTCCTTCTTTATTTGTAAATTAGCCACCATATTGAATTCTCCTTTCCCTCCTTCCAATGAGGGTTATTATGTTTTGTTTTCATGATGTATATGTTTTCATGATTACAATGTGTGTCTCCTTTCTTTTTAACATCGGGCAAGGAAATGCACACCAAAGCTTCACTGACCTAAGAGCCAGCTTAAGATCTAAGTTCTAAGAGAAGAAACATTGCTTCTGCAGTAACTCCATTTTCTTTGTAAGACTTAGCTCAATCTTCCATATTCCATTGCGGCTTTTGCTAAATCGGAGAACAGCATCCTGACTTCACCTCTTTATGAAGTACATTCTTTCAGCATTGACTTCTGCCACCTCTGTGTACAAGCCCAGAAAGCAGATCTTGAAGTAAGTAGAGTGTAGGGCACCACAACCATTTTTATCTCATTTGTAATACACCATCATGGTTATTCTTAATGGGGGATTATAAAGTTACACACAGATTGTGAACGAAGAAAAGGAAGATTTACACCCATAAGGACAGTCGTCCCATCCAGTGATACCTCTGTATTAATTGTTTATAAGGTTTGGGAATAGGCTTAGGAGGTTAAGAATAATTTTCCCTGTAAATTATAGTATGTAAGAAACTTAACCTGTTGAGTATCTGGCACTTGAAAAACCTTGCTTTTTACCGCTGGAGGTCCAGGACTGTGGCTGACCTCTGTCATTATTAAAATAATTTTTTAAAAGTTTAAAATATGTAAAAAAAAATCTGTGCAATAATTTTAAACTGTGCTCCCAGGAATAGACACAAATGTGTTTTTTGGGGGGGATTTTTATTTTGAGTATATTTAAACAGCATTTTCTTTTCCTTTAGCAAACACAAATGTCAATTGCACTGAACTTAAATCTTTTAAAAAAAAAGTCAGAGGTGATTCTTGATAGTACTTTTGTATTTTGATATGGACAGTCTGTTCGTTTTTCATACAAGCTCTTGAACTGATGTTTTCAGCTTCCTTCGAAAAAAAAAAAGTGTATAAAAACGAGATGGTGTTTGAAGTTTTTTGACACAGCTGCAAGATTCCACAGCAACGTTCATATTTCTGATTTTGCAACTGTTTAGCTCTTGTTCTTTTGGTTGGTTGATTTGTTTGATTCTTGCCATTTAAGTATGATATAGCATGTAGACTTTATTGAAGCTTCATTATCACAGCTGTGTTATCAACCAAATCCCGGGCTGATCCCCCCTCTTTCCTATATAATTTTGCTTTTAACACAATTCAAGGAAGACTGTTATTTATTTTTTTATTTTTTTTGTGGGCCAGATGTTCAGTCTTGCTCTTGAGTTCCACAAGCCACATTCCAAAATCCCAAGTCCCACACCTGGCAAAAAAAAAAGTAACTTCATTCCCATGGCCTGCAGACCCTACCAGTCTTTCTATGTTCCATGCCTTTATAAACCCATTGCTGTTAAAAAGAGTATTCTATAGGATAGTAGGTATTTTGGAGAGGTTTTGTTTTGTTTTTTTCTTTCTTTCTTTCATCGGATCTGTTTGTTGTGCTGTACATCTTCCTTCTTTCCCTCCACACGGCAGCTTCCCTGTCTTTTATCATCCCATAGCATGGGTCATTTGGGAGGGGAGGTTAAAGTGAGGAGAGGTGTTGGCAGCACAGCTTTTAAAAAACAGGTATTGCAGTAGGGCCAGATGTATTGTGGTTGTTTGTGTGATAGACATTGAACTGAAAGCCTGGAAATCTCCCAACTGTTGACTGCTGTCTTTTCATCAGTGTGCCACAGTGCTGCTCCAATTGTGAACTGACTTCCTTCTCCTTTTCAGTAAGACAAAACTTTGAGTGTCTGGTATGAAGCGGGGGGAGAGATGAGCACAGTAAAAAGGGCAATTCAAACACCCATGCAGAACAAACAGAATGGAAAATCCCCAAAGCTGCCATTCCTCATTCCAGAATATAGCTTATTACGTGTAAGGCCTTTCCACGTTGTATTTTATTTTCAACACTAGCAGGGATATGGCGGGCACTGTTGAGAAATATCAAAATGTCCCTTGGCTATTTGTCATTCGCTTTCCCACCATTGTTTTTTAACTTGTGTGCCCACGCAGGTTTTAAAAGCAGAAGTAAGCCTGGTTGAACTGGGAACACGAGTGAAAACGATAGGACCCAATCCCTCTTCATGCAACGTAGTCTGCCCTATAAGAGTTCTTCCATTCAAATGGCTTGAGCAATGCAGCTTTAATAATACCACTTTCCCATGCTTTTGATTCCATTCTGATACTGGTTAAAGCCTAGATCTGGCTTCCCCAATCTGATGCCCTTAAGATCATTGATCTACATCTTCCCTCCATCTCCAATCACCGTGATTGGAAATTGAATTTTGCCAAGACTAAGAAAGCTGATTTATGCATGGGCGTGCCGTGAAGAAAAATCTGAAGTACAGATTGAAATGGGTTTCATGGCTGTTTAACAGCCTGCATAAAATGAATGTTCATTATTGAAATGACACAGCCAGAAAATGTTTTGAAGGTAATATTTACCAATTACTACAGTGGTTGAAGTTCGTCAGATTGTTTTAAAGGAGCTTGGCATTTAACTTTTGGATAACTTAATATTGAATAAGTTAATCGTGGTGGAAACATTGGGAGCAGCTGTTAACATCTTAGGGCAAACCTCTAAGGTGTTTTGGACAGCAGGGGTGATGTGTTTAAAATGGGTGAAAATCCTCTTCCACTACTGTCAAATAAGATAGTGACGTGGTTAGGATGTGGTTATGACAAAATGTCTGTCCTCATTTTCCTAGGTTATTGGGTTAAAGCTAGGGCATCCTTCCCAACCTGGTACCTAGGTTACCAAGTTGTGGGAATAACCACACAATTTGCAGCCATCTAGATGGTTAGAGTACAGTTGTAGTTCTAATAAATTTTGGCGGCCACCAGATGAAAGAAGGCTAATTTAAGGTTCTTAATGTTACCTTTGAAAGCATTGTTTTGTTAATTGGTTGTTAAAAGTATTTGAAATTTACAATGAGGCCTGAAACTCTGAGCCTCTTTCTGGAAACTTGGTACCAAATTAGTGTGTGGTTTGGGAAGTAGGGTGAAAGTAAAACATTTTGCATCTAGATAAATTGAAGACTGTTGAATTTTATAGTAAGCTAAATAAGATTGAAAGAGACCAAAAGTTTATACCAATTTGAATTTTATTTACTGATTTATTTATTTTTTGCAGTGTTAATGTATTAAAAAAAATCAGCAGCCCTGTCTTCCCTCAATTCAGAAGTAAAAATATGTAAAGCCCAGATTACTTTCTGCATTTTTATGCTGTGTCGATTGGTTTTGAGAAAGCAGCAAAACTGCAAAATGGTCATTGGTCAGGTATGGTTTTTAAATAAAAAAAAGCTACAGACTCTCCATGAAATGTGTAATTTCAAAGGAGGGAAAAGTACATTTGGATATTTAGATGCCCTTTTCCAATTTTAGCTGCAGGGGAAGCTCTTGGGTTAAGAAGCACAGATTCATCTGCATTAAGAAGCAATGAGCAAAAAGTAACATTGGCTAAGCAAGGGCATCTGGAATTCCCAGTATTTGGGAATGGATTTGAAAAATAGAAAATTGTTAGCAAAAGGAAAGGATTCTGAATTTTCCCAAAAGGAAGGCAGCATTGTGGCACATGAGCAGTGACAGAATCTTCATAGTTTATGCTTAAAAAGATTGATGTGCAAACATGCTGAAGTACTAGCACGCACCATAAGAGCCCACACCATGTTGATTTTATTCTGTATTGCATTTGGACTCTTACCACCTCATGTCAACTGCTGAATTGCTGTCCTGCTTCTCTCAAATAAGCCTCCTTTCAAGCATTTGTTCTGCTGGCTTTCTGTATGTCAAGATTTATGTCCAGAAGTTGAACAGAGGGAGCAGCAGGAGGACACCTAAAGAGAGCTCTAGATTCGGATAGCAGCAAAGGGTGTTTTTTTTTTAAGAAGAACTGCTTTGAACTTACTCTTCAGAGGAAAACCTACAGCTTTTCTGGTATTTCCCCAGATACAAACAGATGCCTCATTGTCAAACTCATAAATAACCACAGCCACAGATGTCAATGCTGTAAGAGTTGTCCAGCAACCATTACAATAAAGCCTCTGTTAGGTCTCCGTATGTTGAGGTCTATCAAACAAAATCATGATTTTTAATCATCGCCTGGGCTGCTGCTTTCTTCTTTTTTTTTTCTCCCTCCCCACCCCCCCCTTCCCATTTGTGGATAAATTCAGGAAAACCTTCTGTTTCGTTTAACTGCTTCTCCAGTGTGCTTTGCAATCTTGTTTCTTGACAGGCTGCGGTGAACAGGTCAGTGATCTAGAACACAAAAGGTTGTTTTGTTTTGTTTTTCTTTCTTCCTGCCGATGCTTTCTCCTTCTCTCCTGACTTTGACGTAGTTGTAAAAAAAATGGTTGAATCTGGAGTTACAAATCTTTGGGGGTCTACTTTGTGATCCTATCTCTATAGCACTGGATTAAAAAAATGTCTACGCCATTTCTTCAGATATATATCTACACTTATACCAGTGTAAAACCAGCCCATGTGAGAGGGTTTTTTTTTTCTTTGCTTTTCTACTTCTTCAGAAAGACTTTATTGTTCAGTTTTCATGATTTATTGTCTAAAGAAGACTGATATAGATGTTCTATACTGTCCTGGACCCATGTTAATTACACCTTTTATGATGTACTTTGGTTCCACATCACAATGATTTTCTCTCTCTCCCACCCACCCTTAAAATTCTCTTTCTTAATCCTTTTTCCAGGCACATTTTTTCTGTTGCAGGTTTCCCTTTGCATTGTATTGCTCTGACAAATGTAATTTGAATCAGATCTGAAAGAGGTCCAGAATAAAATATATTTTGATACGATGCCAGTTGAATGGTCCTTTTTTCCTGTTTTTAAGGTGTTTTTGTTTTAAGTTCAGGGGAATTCGTGAATTCATTCCTATGGGACGGGCAACTAGATATCTTCCTCCTCCTGGGCCATGTGATCCAGAGTGAACAACACAGGCTATCCAAGATGGGCGCAGATGGATGTGACGCAAGCATATATTACAGAGGAATCCGTAAGGAATGTTTTTAAAAGGCAAGATGGCAGCTGCACTGGTGTGTTCAAAGCTATGCCCATTGAATGCCAAACACATAAAAAGGCCCTATGTACCGTCATAATTTTTTAAATCCTTCTCTGCGTAAACCCTGGTTGAATAGAAACCAACGAAGACAACACCGTTACAGCCATCTTGATAGCTAGCCACACACAAAATATATACATGCATAGCCCCTGCAGGAAAAGGTGTGTGCTTTCATTATTCAGAAGAATATGCAGACGTTTCTTAGGGTCATTGTTAGTAGAAGAGCTGGAACAAATTCCTGAATTCCTCCCTGTATATTGTTTGTGATGGTTCAGATATAGTTGGTATTGGTACTGGTATGGCCAAGAGACATAGTTGATAACTGCAAAGGTTTTTTGTTTTAATTGTGACCATATCTCTTAAGTCCATAGAATTAACCAGATTGGTAGCTTCAATTAACTGGTATTGCTTGTAGTGCAATTATTAAAATGGATCTTTCATGGGTCCAGATACTATTTTTTTACAACCCTATAATAATACCTTTTATCTGGATAGAGTCAAGGTGACTGAATGAAACTGAGCATTTACTGGCTGGGTGCCCTTCCTGATATCTATGTGGAGTTCACAGCAGATATGTTCTCTTTACACCCCAATAGAGAAATGTGTCGCTGCCTAGGATTGATCTCAACTTTCCAAGTGGGAGGCGAGCGTCTTCACCTCTAGGCCACAGGCTCAGTCATAAGTCCAATTATAGGTAGTTCTCTACTTAGGACCACATTTCAGGCTGGAATGTCAGTCAACTAAGCAATTTGGTTGTAAAAGATGTTACGTGGCCACATCACTTACAACTGAAATCTTAGTGATTTCTGTTGCCTTTGTTAGGCAAATTTTACCTGTGGGTAAGAGGCACGGTAGCTCAGCTTAATGATGCTGGAGATGGTTTTTGCTCCGATGGTTCAAGTCCTAGCACTGTGACAGGAGGAACTCCCATCACTCACCTCAGCTTCTGCCAGCCTAGCAGTTTGAAAACATGCAAGTAGATAAATAGGTACCATTTTGGTGAGATGACTTGGTGGTTAAAATCCTGCTGGCCTTGAACCTTCCCAGTTTTGATGCCCATTTGTAAGGTGGCTTCATGGAGGAAGAGGGCCCCAAATGATGCTGCAGGAAAGCTGCTTGTGTTTCTGGAGTGCAGCTAGCTCACCCATCGTGGTGCACCTTGGAAAGTGCACAAGCATGAACCAAACAGGCCTAGCAGACTTAGGCAGACAAACTACTGCTCTGCATTAGCATTGTAGTCTTTCTGGGTAATGTAACATTGCCATATGCTAAAATAAATGGTTAGCCAAGAATGATCCCAAATTTTCTTCGATTTCTCGGAACCTCCAGCTTGGAGGTGAAGACTGCCTCCAACTCACCCCGCCTGCCTATCCCCCCCTCCCATCACTGATCTTTGGGCCACCCTGCCCCATGCCTTGTGGAGTAGCAAACAACGGCTCTAGGCCTGCTTGACACCCTAGCCCAGTGGTCCCCAACCTTTTTTGTGCCGCGGCCCGGTACCGGCATCACAAAATCATCCGTGGCCCGGTACCGGCATCAGCACGCATGGCAAGGCGAGCCGAGTGACCAGCCAGCCAGCCAGCTGTCCCCCGCTTCTCTCCACCACCATCAACTCCTCCTTTGTACCTGTGTCGATGGGCTTCGCGACGGTTGCTCGGCTCGCCTTGCCATGAATGCTGAAAGAATCCTCGCGCCTTAGTTTTGTTTGAAGCTGCTCCCACCTCGATGAAACTAAGGCGTGAGGATTCTTTCAGCACCCAAATGCCACTTTCTACCCGGAAAAACTCACCGGAAGCACTTTTTCATCAAAACAAGATGGCGGCGCCCAGCAAACCGGCAGCCCGGTAGAAATTATTCCACGGACCGGTGCAGGGACCGGTGGTTGGGGACCCCTGCCCTAGCCCACTCCAAGACTTCTGCTGCCCCATCCTCTGCCATCTCCACTAAACACATGCATCTATTCCTGCAAGACGTGTCAGCTTGTAGCTGGGTTTGCTCTACAAAAAGGAAGGAAAGCTGCTTTCAGCTTTATTTGTTCAATTTCTATTCCCATCTCAATCAATGATTCTGGGAGGCCTTTTATCTCCCCTTTTCCCGTCCCCCTCTCTCCCCTCTCCCTCCCCCCTCCTCTCAACAGTTAAAATTTTAAAACAATAAAAACACTAAATATCCAAAATAAATGTACGTAGGAGCAAGATACATGGTCATTTAGCAGTAGATCCAGGAAGCAAGATCCCTGACACATTAAGTGCCTCAGGCTCAAGAACATAGCCAAGTTTTTCGGGACATACTAAAAGCTAACAAGTTTGCTTGCAAGAGAAAGACTCAGATGTCCAGGAATGCAATGAAAAGAGGCATTTTGGCATGTTCCAACTGTAGGAGCTGTTTTGTGGTTTTTTTTCCTCTTTTTTTTTTTTTTTGCAGTGTAAAGCCAATCTCATACAGCCCAGGAGAATAATCCAAAGAGGTGTTTTGACACGCTGTAGCCCCTTTAAGCTGTGTCATCCCTTCATTCTCTCCTTCCCCTTTTGTATGTGAGAAGCTAGCCACATATGGCCTAGTTGCCATGCCCAGCTCACCTTATCAGCATTGGGAGCAAAAAACAAGGGAATGCCCAAATTTGTAAGAGAGAAGAGAAGCCTTTGAGGCAACGCTCCCGGAGGTGGAGTTCTGCACATGCACCGGCCTGCCTCTCATGCAACCCGGTTCTGAATAGGCCACAACCCAGGGGTTGGACACCTCTGCTCTGGAGGATTTGATTTAATCCCATTTATAATCCTTTTTAATATCACTGAGTGTTTTCAAGCTTTATAATTATTTTCCTGTTTAAAAATGCCACCCAAATTTGTATTACCAATCCCATCTTCTAACTTTTTATTGCACGCTGCAAGGTGACCTATTTCACATGGTTTGCAGTGTGCAATAAAAAGTTGGTTCTGTAAAATGCTTCTGTAGAAAGTTCCTTTCTGTAAAATGAAAGCCTCAGGAGATGATTAGCCGACTCCGCTGGCTTCCTGCCTCAGTCTACCTTTCAAAGCTATTACTACAATTTTTACAAGATGTTCCGCCACTCCAAAGTATATGAAATCCACCTTTGGGTTCTCATTAGTCATATAATCACTCGTACATCAATTATTTGCAGGGAAGCGCTCATTTTTTTCTCACAATGTTATGGGAAATGATAAACCGGGCTTCTGTTCAAAAGTCATTGTACTACAATGCACATACAATTTTCAAGTTGCCAGTAACGTTTGTTTGCACTATACTAGTCTAATGGCTCAATATTTTAAGGTTTGTGCAAGTTTCAGTAACTGCTAGACTGTTTGTGTCAATGCTGATAAAGTTTTATGTTGCACATTATTAAGAACCCTGGTGGCACAGTGGTTAGAATGCAGAATAACACTGTTTGATCCTGATCAACTCAAAGTTGACTCAGCCTTCTAAGGTGGGTAAAATGAGGACCATTTGGGGGCCATATGCTAACTCTAAACTGCTTAGAAAGGACCATAAAGCACTATGAAGTGGTAAAGAAGTATAAGTACTATTGCTATTACTATACTATCCATATTAATCCCATTAGATGAGGATTTTAGGAACTATAGCTCAGCACAAATGGAAGATGACCAGATTGGAGAAATTTAAACTTGAATATGTGTATATGTGGACCAAACAATAAATATTTTGATAAAATGAAATATGAGGACTTTGTTCTTAAATACCTTTCTGCTAGTGTACTCGCTGTTTAAGTTATGGAAGCAATATTGATATTAAATCAATAAATAACTCACACTTGAGCAGGGTGGGAATTAAGTATTAATTCATAATTAATTAATCATTAATTAATCATTAATTAATAAGTAACACAAAATTTTCCTGTCCTATGTACACCAGATCTATTGCTCATTTGCAAGGTACAAGGTTATTCTTGTACATGAAAAGAGAAAACCCGAACACAATTTTATATCGGCCTGTTTAGCTCCTATTTAGCCACTGTACTTTGTCTTGTTTCTCATATTTTGCCAGATGTTGCCTCTACTGTTTCATCACTTAGGGTTCCAGAAGTTTAAGGATTGCCATGTCTCTCAGTCGAGCTCCGCAGATAATTCTTACATATTTCCCTGCTTCAAGGGCACAGTAGCTCAGTGGTTAAAGACACTGAGCTTGACAGCCCAGATTCAAGACCCCAGCATTACGTGATGCAATGAGCTCCCATTACTTATCTAGCAATTCTAAAGCATGCAAATGTGAGTAGATAAATAGGTACCACTTCAGTGGGAAAGTTGCAGCATTCCACCCACCTAGGCAAATAGACATGCTGGCCACATGACCATGGAAGCCTCTTCAAACAATGCTGGCTCCCTTGGCTAAGAAATGGAGATGAGCACTGGTCCCTAGAGTCAGACACAAGAGGACAGGGGAAACCTTTGCCTTTATTTCTCTGGTCATATAAGCTTGCATAAGCATCCTCAGCATTGTCTGTTGGAATTTGTTGAGGCAGATGAAGGGTACAAGCAAGAATATTGATCTGTAATTGGATGGAATGGATCTATTAAACAGACAAGCCATAATTTCAGTTTCCTTCCACAAGGAAATGCTGCCAGCTAAGTGAAGCTTGAATATCATTTGATTATGCTGAGAAAGAATGATTTGCAAGAGTGCAAAGAGATAAAAATATCTGAGAGCTGCCACTTTTTCCCAATTTGACATATAATTTTGAGAGAAGAGGAAAATAACTCTA